ACTAAGGGAAACAGGAGGCGTCAAATAGCTTTCTAATGAGCCTGTTCAGGGGACAAACGCCCAACTGTCAGGCCAGTGCCCATACACCCAGATAATGCCGCCTGAGGGGAGGGGAAGCCTGGACGGACTGTGAAGCCTTCCCCAGGACAGTTATAAATAGTGTGGTGACATGCAGAGGAAGGCACAGCTAAAAAGTTAGCCGTCCCCCTGTGGGTTACAAACGCTTGACTCATTTGCTGACTGTCCACAAAGATTATAAATAAGTTGGTCACCATCCTGGGGGGTGAGAGCCTGTTTTCACACTGCCAGAAGTCGTTGGCCCTCCTCGGGGACAACACACTCAGTGTGACCTGTGACAATCAAATGTGGCCCTGGAGTCCCTTGGCAGCTGGCTCTCAGGCTACTGCCTGTGGTCAAAGCCTTCACAGTCTTCTGCCTTCTGGAACTCTCCAGGTCCTCCCCAGCGAGGGTCTGGGAAAGGAACCTGTCCTATTCCCACTTCCCAGCATGCCTGGACCATCGACACCGTGCCCCAGGGGTCCTCTCAATCACACTAGAACCTGCTCTGACAGCCACCTGCCCACCCCCAGGGGCACCTGGGCCTCGCAGGAACACAGTCATTCACCCCACAGCACCTGCTTCTGCACTGCCTTTTTGGAGACAGGGCAGGGCAGGGCAGAGCCCGGGACTGAGATGCTACTGGGGCTGGGGAAGCGGCTCAATGGGAAAGTGTTTGTGTAGCATGCAAAAGGCCCTGGTTTGATCCCCAGCACCAAAAAGTAAAAAGAACGGGGTACCATTGACCGTTCCAGATGGAGGCCAGAGGTGGACTCCCTGACCCCTGTGCATTCAGCAAAAAGACAGGCAGCAAGTCGGCCCTGGCCTAAGGGATACCATTCTCTTTGAAGAGTGAATGGCCAGGAGTTGACTCCTCTGGGCATGAGGAGAAGCCTGCCGTCTGGGTGGCCTCCAAGGTCAGAGGTGAGAAAAGCAGCTCCTCATGGGAGTAGACAGGGCGCCAGCAAGCACCTTCACGGGGACGCCTCTGAGTGCAGCTGAGTTACCTGGGCAACGGACCCAGCAAAGGTGCAGGGAGGAGCCAGAGGCAGCCGGAAGGAAGGAGGGGCAGGACGCTGGTCGCCTAGGCAGGAGGGGCAGGGGGTGGGCAGAGGATGGCTCTGCCTGAGAAGGGAAACTCAGATGAATTTTGAAATCGAGGGTGGGGAAGTGTTTGAGGTTGTACAGGATTAGTGAAAAGTGCCCCCTGCTGCGCCAGAGTGTCCCAGCCTCCCACGAGACCACCCCATAGCCCTGGTGACTGGCTCACTGGAGAGAGGCCACAGCCCCACCACCATCAAGCTGGGGAGGGGGTGGGGGGGTCCACAACCCGAGGAGGAGGGGGAAGGCAGGCCGGCCCCATCTCTAACTCTGGACCCCGGAGAGGAAAACCAGCTCTAGAAGAAAATAAAGAACAATAAGAAGGACCCCAACTCCTCTTTGCTCTGACCCTGATAGAGGAATAGTGAGTATCACCAAGATTTCTCAACAGGATCTGGCCCTAAGTCTGCAGAGAGGAAAGCCGCTCATTTAAGAAAAGAAAGAAAGAAAGCAGAGTCCCCACTCAGGTCAGGGGAAGCCCAGTGCCTTTAGACCTATTAGGACCATCTCGGCGTCTCTCAGAAAGAGCAGCCGCCTCGTGCCTGCGCCCTGCCTCCCTGCTCCAGGCGGAAACCCCAGCGCTCAGCAGAGCCGCCTGCCAGTGTCATGGCCTACGGCCTGTGAGGGTGGGGGCCGGGGATCATTCTGTCCTGATTTCTCAACCTCCTCACTCACGCTGGCTCCCCTTTGCATCGACTCTGAACCCGCTCCAGGTACGTGCCGTGTTCCTCCTCAAGAGACCAAGCCTGGGTAGCGCATCCCTTCCCCAGAACAGACACCAGCCCAAGAGAGGCAGAAAAGCCACAAACCCAGAAAGAAAGGCCGAGAACTTCAGAACCCAGCGACCCGGGCACAAGGCACAGGCCCATCTTCAATCACTGGGGGAAACAATAGTGTCCTCCTCCTCAAGGCCTTTGAGAGGGAGCTGCCACCAGAGATGCAAAACTACCCAGCCTGACTGGGGTGCCCATGGTCACCCTGTCCATCCTCCTGCCTCACACTGGCCAGCCAAGCCAAGCATCACACAAGCTCCGAAGCAAAATGGAGTGTCACTCATCTGTCCCCAGGGCTACTGGAGTGTCTCTAAGCTCTCCCATGGCAATTTTTCACCCTAACCCAAACACTCCTGTCCCAGAGCCCATTCCTCCACGAAGCTGGGGGGCAGATGCTCACCTCCCCCCAAAACAGACCCATGGTTAAAAGTGGTCTCTGGCCACAGTCAGCCCCCTCTAAGAACTTCTCTCCTCCAATAACAAGTCTTGGTTCCCACTGATTCTAGAGCCAGAGTTAGATTGATTTTTTTTTAAATCTGTCTCTCTTCTTACCATAATCACAAGAGGCCCCATGTATTGAGCCGGCACCAGCTGAGTGCCTTACGCTCCTCTGACTCAATCTCCCTCTTGACGGCTGGGCAATGGGTTCCAGGCTGCAGGACTTACCCAAGATCACACACTGGAAGTGGCCGACCTAGGACTCCAACCTTGATCTGATTCTTTGACACAATGCCACCTGCACCCAGGCAAGACAGGGATATCCTCCCCATCTCCCCACTTTGGGTCCACAGGGCCTGGCACATACAAGACGCCCAGAAAATAGTTGTCCCATAGGTGACTCAGAACATGGGGATCCAGATGGAAGGACAGAGGGTAAGCAGGTTAAAGGGAGCCCTGCTTGCCCCAATCCCAGCCCAAGGGTGCACAAGAAGAGCCACCTCAACAGCTGAGGCAAGCAGGACCCTCTGTACCGTTGTCCTCTCTGTGCCACCACCAGTCAGAGGGTCAGTGACTTAGGAACAGAAGAAGCCAAGCACCTCGGGTCACTTCACCCTTCAGTCACCCACAGCCTGCCTCCCCAGCTCTGGAAAAAACCCTTTCCCTGAGCATGGCCACTGTCTTTTGGAAAAGCCGTTTCCTTAAGAGCTCAAACCACAAGGGTCACCGAAAGAGGATGCGCTGGTGTCGTCTCTTCCCCTCAGCCCCTGCCCTTGGGCCTTTATCGGTTCTCCCCTAGGAAGGACTGCTGACCCCCCGGGAATGACTGGAGGGATACAGGGCTTGGCCCAAGGTGGCTGCCAGCCCTATCTCCGGAAGCAGAGCGCCCAGCAGGAGAGGTGACTCTGAGAAAGCAGTGAGCAGAGGGACCCGCAGACTCAGAGGCTTATTTCAAGGAATGACTCAGTGAGCTGCGTTTCCAGGGGAAACCCCACTTGCTTCTCTGCTCACCGAGGGGCAGGAGCTATTTAGACTGAGCAGCTTCCCAGGGCTGCCCTCAGCTGGGGCTGCCCCCCCCCCAGAGCAGGCGGGTCCCCGGAAGACCCTCTCTCTGCCTGGGAGTCTACACTCTGAATATTCAGGTTGCCTGACAGGTCTGCCCCACCGGATTCCAGAGTGGGCTAGCCCGCCCACCCCTGGTTAAAGTGACATGCTGGGAATGGGGGAAATCCGATCAGCACCTCCCAGGTTTTTGCGGCTGGATTTCAACAAGGAATGTGACAGTCTCGCAGCAGCTGTGCCCGGCCTGAAACAAGCTCTATTTGAATCCTCCAACAGCTGAGCCCCTCCCAGCTACCCGCCAGCCAGCCCAGCCACCCCCTGCCCAAAATGACAATAAATAGAGAAATCCAAGCAAAAAGCAGGCATAGGCACAAGTATCCGTCTCTCACACACACGCACACGCGCACACACACACACACCCCAACAAATTGGGGCTGAGGGGTACCGTGGGAAGAAAGACACTTGTCCAGGGGTCCCCCAGGTCTCCGAGCCTTCCAGCCCATGGCAGAAGGGCTCCCTGGCAAGTAGAGCATCAGCGGAAACCCACCTTCCTCCATCTCCACTCCCCCTGCAAGGGAAGCCCCTTCCTCCGTCTTGGGGCTCGACTGAGAGGCTGCAGCGGTGGGGCCAGCACCCCCTGAAGCCTGTGCCTGCCGTCTCCACCCGGGCGCACTCACACATGCCCTCATCTTTATTTATCCCGAGGAGAAGGAGTTGGGGTGGGAGGGGAGAACCGGGGCTGAGCTGGGGGCGCTGGCTCGCGGGGACCGCTGGGGAAGCCTGTCATCCCATCCCAAGGAGAGGCGGTCCCCCCAGGCTGAAGCCAAGGCGGTGCCCATCTGCTCTGCCTGGGTAACACCTGTAGCCATTTTTATCAAGGGATGTTTATGAGGCAGCAGCAGGTTTACCCTGAGTCCTCTTTCCTGAGGGAAGAGACTGCTGGTTTCCTCCGTCTGTATTTTTACCCCAATGCCCTGGGGAGACTCAGGTCACCCGGTGCTTTTCTATTTTGCCCCGAGTCTCTTGGGGGAAGAGGAGGGAAATAGAAACTTGGGAAGAGAAGGAGAATAGAAGGGACTTGGGCCGTGGGTACAGAATCCCCCACCCCCACCCAGACATTTATTTCTTTTTTATCCTGGGGAAAATGGAGTGGAGCAGGGAGGGAGGAGAGGAGGGGAAGTCGCAGGAACTGGCAAACACATCAAGGCAGAGTGTAATTAATTGGTGCGTTAAGCTGCTGGGTTATGCTTTAGTACAAGTGAGCCAGGAGGAAAAACGATTTCTCAGAAGGGATTCTTTAATCCTCCCTAACACGGAGTCTGCAAATTAGACACAGTGTATGGGGATGTCCCCCCTAAAAGGAAGTGAGGAATGAATTCTCCCGGGATCAAGAAGGAAAACCATGGGAAGTTAGAGTGTTCCATATAACTGAGCTAATGCCTCTCCCACCACCACCTTTCTCTCTCTCATTCTCTCTCTCTCTCTCTCTCTCTCTCTCTCTCTCTCTCTCTCTCTTTCTCCCTACATATTCCTTTTGTTCAAGGTATAAAGAGAAACCACAGCCCCTACCTTTGAGTACAAACCCCAAGACAGCTCGGTCTCTATCACCATAACAACAATTCCAAACATCCCAAAAATCAGAGCATAGTCACTCAGTCGCTTTCTCTTTTCAAACAGGGCCCTCCTGTGTCCCAGCTTATAGCCAATGTTTTGGTTTTTCCGCTTGTTGGCTTTGGGGAAGGTGCTGCCGCTGGCAGTGGTGCCGGCATGCTGGTGGTTGTGGGTAGCGTTGGGGTGATGGAGCAGGGTCTGGTGGGCATGATTGTCCTCCCTGGAGGAGATGACGATCTCCGGGGGGTTGCTGGGGCTGAAAAGCTGGAGGGGTTGGCCCTCGGGCTCGGCCTCAATGAGGTTCCTCCGGGAGGCGCTGAGGCGGCTGAGGGGCTTCATGACCCCACCGCTGTACTTGCAGGAGCTCATGGCGATCTCTGTGAAGGGGTTGCTGTCCCGCCGGTGGACCAGGGGGCTGGCCTGCCGGTGCCGGCTACCTCCTCCAGGCCCACTTGTGGCTGTGGAACTTGGAGAGTGGCCAAGCAAGTGGTCATTGAGATTGAGCTGGCTGCCTTGCCTGGAGGAAGGGTGGAGGATGGCCGTGGAGTTGGACGAAGGGGGGGCCCTGAAAGCAGTGGGAGGGGAGTGCAGCAGGCCAGGGTGGACAAGCTGGCTCTGGAGTTGGGCGAGCTGAGACAGGGGATGCGGTGGCTGCTGCTGCTGCTGCTGCTGCATCTGCGGAGGCTGAGGCTGAGGCTGCAACGAGGGTCCTGGGGGCTGCTGGGGGGCTGCTGGGGGCGCTGGCGGCGGTGGCGGCTGCTGCTGTTGCTGCTGCTGCTGCTGCTGCTGCTCATCCCCAGAGGATGGACAGGGGCACTTGGGGTCTTCATCCAGGTCCCCCACCCCCGAGTCATGGAAGTGCCCAGAAGTGTCCATCTTGGGGCCTGGCTGGATTCCCTGCAGCACAACCCCCCACCCCAAAGCCACCCTCGCTCCAAAGATGTCCTCAAAGAAAGCCAGGCATCCAAGCTCCCCCACCAGAGTGTCTTGGCTCCAGTCCTCTCTTTGGCTTGCTTCGGTTCTCTGGGGCTGCCTGGAGTCCAGACGCTGCCTCTTAAGAATGCATTGTATTGGGCAGTGAGGAAGGGCAGCGGGGGAGCTTGGAGAAGGAAGGAGCGGGGAAAGAACTCTAGCTCAGGAGGTGGTCCTCTAGGAGCGCGTGAGGCCAGGCTGAGCTGCACTCCTCGCTGGCTCGATAGCTTCGCTTTCCTCCTCCTGCCACTGTTATACTGTAAGCCAAGCCCACTTATTAGCAGCTGGTCTCATTGGCTCGGCTCAACTCTCCAACCGCCTCCTAACTCCGCCCCCCTCCCAGGCTCCGCCCCGAAGGAGGGGCCTGCAGTCCTAGGCTCCCGGCCGGGCGGTAGCGCAGCGAGGGCTGGGAACTGTAGTTTTTGCTCCACGACCCTGGAGCAGAACTGCTGCCGCCCTCTTTCCGTGACAGGTATGGCCGAAGTCCGCAAACCCACGGTGACCAGGGTTGTAAGCTCCCGCGGGGACAGTGGGAAGGAGGGACAGAGGGACTCCTCAGGAGGGGCACTGTCACCATGATGAGGGTCAAGAAGCTCAGGAAGACAAACATTTATTAAGGCACAGATTGTTTCGCACATATTATTCCAGGTACATCCTCCCAACACCCAAGGAGGCGGGCATTATGTTCCCATTTTACCAAGGAGAAAACTGATGCTCAAAGCTGTTGAGTAGCAACGTCAAGGTCACAGAAGCAGAGGGAATTCACTCCCTCTCACTGTGGATAAACTCACCTACCACTGATGGAGCTCCTGGAATGTATGTGCACCCCCTCTCTGTCATTTCCAACCCCTACATCAACCCTATGAAAATGATGTCATCATTCTCCCTTTACAAATGGAAACCGTTGGAAGAAAGAAAGGGTGGAGAACATTCAAGCACAGACAAATTAAGAAACTTGCCAGATGTCATTCAGCTTGTAATTAAAGATGCCAGGGTTTTGAACTTAGGTCAGTCTGACACTCCAGTTCTCAAAGTGGTTGTTCAACAAACATTGTTCACATGACGGATGAGAACGAGCCAACGAGAATCTGTCCAGGAAGAACCAGCTTCTCCAAAGCAGGATGTGTGAGGCGCACAGCACAACGGCTCCAGCCTCTTCCCTAACAGCTGGGCATGGAGTCACTAGAGGATCTGGCAGAAAGACTGAAGACGCCCCGTGGTCACCCCCTGCCTGATTTTCCCCATGGGGCTCTGAGAGTTGGAGCTGGGAACAGCTGCTAGCTTCCCAGGTTCAGAATCATCATCATCAAGTATTTATTAAGCTCCCACTGTGTGCACAGGGGGTTCGAAAGGGATGGGACCAGAGCTGAATTTATTTCCATTTTAAACTGCAACAGACTTAGGGATTAGAGAGAAAGACACTGTTATGGAATCCCCCAAGCACACCTGGGATCTGAAGACATCTGGGCTGCAGGTGTAGCTGAGTGGTAAAGTGCTTGCCTCGTATGTACCAGCCCCTAGATTTGATCCCCAGCATCACAAAGGATAAAAAATTTAAAAGGAGGGGAGGCCTCTTCCTGTCTGCTTCCTGATTCCCCATCACCCTTTGGCTTCTGTTCAGCTCCTTCCCTAGAGGAGAAGAGGGAGAGTGAGAGATGCAGGCACACACACACACATACACACACACACACGGAAACACACAGGCATACACACACTGCCCTGTGCACACACAGATGCACACACGATTCCTTTGAAATCAGCTCTCTTGAATAGTGAGCAGCAAATGACCAGGTCAGGAAGGGGCAGAGTTTCCACCCAACGAGCCCAGAGGCCCCTCCCATGTATCATTGCTCACCTCTCCGATCCCTGATCCACCATGAAAACAGAGCTGCATATTACTATAAGCCACACCCCCAGACACCTGGACAATTAAAATTTTCTTCCACAATAATCTTGATTATCATATTATCAGTGATGTGGTCACACACACACACACACAGAGACACACAGAGTCATTGCACCAGGGTCTCCTGTGTTTTCCCGTGGCCGTGTGGCGCCCCTGCAGGGAGCCCTGCCTGCCCTCCTCCTCCTGTGTGTCTTCTTGATTTCTGTCCCTCTCTCTCATCCCCAGACAGAGCCACCTGTTTGGTTCAAGGCTCCAGATCACCTGTTTAGTTCTAATGATTTCCTAATAAATTACCATTAATATGGTGTCAGTAACTGAAACGTGCTGTTAGTATTGGCTTTTAGTACCTGATACAACTTCCAGACTGTGAAAAAAATCAATTAAGGGGGCAGACCCCTGGCATTTCTGTGCCCACTCCACCTCATGGGCTACCTTCTGCCTAGGCTCACCTTTCCAGGCCAGCTTCCTGACCCTAGTTCCCTGACTATTCCTGTGAGAGCATGTCCTGCCATCACGGACAGGGGTGAGAAACAGCCTGGGTAAGTCCAAGCTCCCCAGAGCCGAAGGCAGAGGTTCATCTGGGAAATGGCATTACCAAGGCAGCTCCCCACCCCACCGCTCCCCCACCCCTGGTTAGAGCTACCCCATCCTAAACAGGAGGCGGACAAGGTCATGGTTAGAGACGGGGCTCCAGAGTCAGACTTTCCAGTCTGGAGCCTTTGCCTGCCACAGGATGTCTACATAGCCACCGGCAAGATGACCTCTGGTCCTCAGCTTCCTCTCTGTCACGCAGAAGTAATAAGCGTCCCTACTCGTGGCGTTTAGGAGAATATTAGAGGTGAGTCACTAGTAGGGGGGGGCTGTCCCATAGGGGGCAGCCCTGAACCCCTCAGGATGTCCTGCAGCTGGCCAGGACTGGCTCTTAAAAGATCATTGTGCCCATTTCTTCCCGGCTCCGTGTTCAGCGGTGTCACATCTGTGTCTTGAAATCAGTTGTGATGGGGGTTATTTTCACCACAGAAACCAGCAAACCTGTAAATCAGGGCTTGCTTTGTCCTGTAGAGGAGTTGAGTCTTGAAGGCTGTTAAGCTGATCCAGAGCACCCAAACTGCTCCCAGCCCCGTCCCAGATCCAGACTGCGCCCCCCACCCTCTTCCAGAGACCAGGCTTTGCTCCCCTGCTGCCCTCTCTCTAGTTCCAGCTGTGCCACTGGCTCACTGTGTGACCTTGAGCCACTAGTCTATACTCTCAGCTCCAGTGAGGCAGACCTGACGGTGAACGCCCATGGGTCAGTGAACCAGCGGGGAGCTGCCCCCACCCAGGGCCTGCTCCGGTCAGCCTTTCTGATCTGCCCCTCCCATGCATAGTGTTCAGATGTCTTCCACCACTGCTGCCTGTCCAAGTCCCCAATGTCGGGAAGTCCCCAGCTCTTGCCTTGATCCCCAACTACAACAGCGTCATCACAACGACCCATGAGTTGGGGTCATTGCTCATTTTATAGATGAGAAAATAGATGTATTGACAGGTTTTAAAACTTGGCCACTCTTACTAACTAGTGGCATTGCTGGGATCAAACCCAGGCCCATTCAACCCCCAAATCCAAGCACTTGACATGTGTTTTGAAACCCAAATTTTTAAGATTCAGCCAACCCTCAGCTTGTGGCCTCACTGAAGAAACAAGTTATGTGCCTCTGGGGGTGACAGAGAACAACAAATCAGACCACAAAATATGGTTGTGACACTAGAGGTGACTGAGGGCAGGGGATAACGAAGGGAGGCTGTTGCAGGATGAGCAACCACCCTTCACACTGACCTAAAATGAAAAGTGGACACATTAGGCCTCTCTAGTCTGCAAATATGGCGGTCAGGGGTGCAGCGGAATTTCTTACCTCTAGAATACCCAGAGAGTAAGCAAGGACATGTCCACCAGACCCAGGAAGACCAGCTCCACCTCAGGCGTCCTCAGCCCTGCCCTCCTTTCTGACAGCCTCCCTCACCACCTCCTCCTGAAGGGCCGGCATCACCAGCCTCTGGGAGCTGACCAGCTATTCCGCACCTCCACGTCGCTCACGCCATTCCCCCCGACGTGCTCTTCCTACATCTTCACTAACACATTTCCCTTTGCCCTTAAAGACACGGATCAAGGTCTTCTTCCTAAGACGCCTCCCCTGAGCTCCGAGTCGGGGATCTCACTCTCCCTGTCTATTCAATCTCTGAGAAGCAGTACATCTCATGTCCTTTGTGTCCTTTCCCCAGATTGTGACCTCCTTGAGGGCAGGAATGATGGCTTCTTCAGGCCCGTGTCTGCAGCTCTTCCCCAGAACCAGGTGCACGGTGGGGGCTTCACAGAGATCAACCGTACTGACTGAACTGGAAACTGGGGAGAGTTCATTTGGAGGTAAATAAAAGGAGGTCGCAGCACTTTTCACAACAAATGACAAGCACAATTTCCCTGTCAGTAAAATAAGTGAGATAGAAGAGATGATTTCCAAGATCATTCAGCTTTAAAATTCCATAATCTGTGGTCTATAGATGTTTTTATCCCTAAAAAGTAGAACTAACTGGAAAGTGATGATTCGTAGTTTATCTGGCTGTCTTTCCCCCAAGTCTGTACCTTTTGAGAGCAGAAGGAGTCTAATTTCATTTGGTATCCCCAGTACTGAGCAAGGTGCCTGGCCATGAATACACTCACTAAAGGTTTATCAGAGGAATGGACGGATGGATGATAGAGGATGGATGGATGGATGGATGGATGGATGGATGGATGGATGGCTCATGAATGCAGGGGTGGGCCAATGGATAGATGAATGATGAATGGGCGAATGGGTGGATGATGGAAGGATGGATGGACAGATGGATGACGAGTAGATGGATGGATGTTGGATACAATGACAGATAATAGTGCGTGTTCTATAAATGGCAGTGGTTGGAGAGATGTCCTTGGCCTTCTGGAGACAATGTCATAAAGATCAACCCCACTTTCCCCAGATCTTGTACAGGTAAGTCAGAGACAGTCCTAGGCTGAATGGCACACCCGCTCCCCCAGATTCAATCATTGTTCTGATCTTACCGCGGAACTTTGTTGCTCTAATGATACAAACCACTGTATTTACACAGTGCTTCATAGTTTTCCAACGACTTTCACATAAATCACTTCCTTTGCACCTCCCAGCAGGCCTGGAAGGCAGGGGGTTCTGTTGCCGTCACCCCTTCAACTGAAGTTTAGAAAGTCTAAGTCATGCATTCAGTGTCACCTATCAGCCGTGAACTTGAACCGGGGTCTCCTTCCTTCTCCTCGGAATGCCTTCCCAGTG